AAACTCGAGTCAATAGTGTTTCCGACTGTGCGCGATTGAATCGATGAACTGAGGATTGTGCCCATGAAGGTGAAGTCCGTAGGATAGTCACTTCAAATCAATGAGGTAAATAGTAGGGTCACGTGTTAACGTGTCGGTAAGCTCGGCTAGGGGATAGGTTTCAGCCACCCTATTGGGTTTCAGCGTGAGATGGGGCAAGTGGATGTGCGCACTATAGATCATGTCTTTCAATCCAAACGACGAGTCAGCCACGCGTTGAATAGGAGATACCGCGGATAGCCGATATGCCAGTGCATGAAAGTGATTTGAGGCGTACCGCACATTGAATGAAACCACCCGTTAGTTGACTAGATGTAACGATTTAACTCAATTGATTGTCATGTTTATGAAAAGGAACTAGAAATCATGTGACCGTGATAGTTAAGTAACCGAAAATAGACGAAACTTTTATCGTTTAAATTCCCAACTTGGCTATGGATCCCACATTTAGTGTTTTGATACGGGAAACAGCATTTTAGTGGAACAGAAAAATGTGACTGACTACAATTTGAAAGATTGTAAACAATTCAATCAGAAAGTGAACAGATACGAAAATTATGGAATGGAATTAGAAATTATCAGACTAATTGTACCAGAGGTCAGAACAAGTAATTTGAGCAAGGAGTGTTTTGGAATCAAATAGAGATGATGCAAAAACCTTACCAGTATAGTCGTCCAAATTCACTGAACCCCAGTCGAATAGACTGGCAGTGCGTAAGCTGCGATAGAGCAGCGCGCTCATTGACAGTCTCGACTGATCGGAATTATCATTCACGCAAGGGAATGTTGGATCGGTCGTGGACAATTTTGAGCTGACCGTGGACCCCGAAACGGACACACGTCGATGCAACGCGAAAATTCCATCCGGATCACGATGATCGACAGATGGAACTTTGTCGATGGATGGTGAATTCCGTGTTAAACAATCGCCAGATGAGGATGATGATGATGAGGATGGATGAAACAGCGGGGATTCACAATGTACCCCTGTGGGAGACAAAAAATAATTTGTTGGACTAATACTCGACGGATGGGAGGAATCGGATCGGCTAATTCCATCTAGATTGAAAACGCAGAAAAAATATAGCAGTAAAAAACCATCGTGATTTGTGTATTCATAACCGACTATCCAAAAATGGTTATTCCATATCGCATATATATATACATCATAATAAGTAGTATCTTAATGGCTGAACAAAATTTTTCTGGAAGCATACGACCGGTTTCGCAATCCTTTCCGCTCGTCAGGCATGCGTACCCGGTAATCTTTTGCCAGTTCAATCATATACTCGTACCCGGGAAGTGTGATTTCGTCACTATAACCTTGTTTGCAGCACCGGGTGACTTTAGCATAGACAGCTCTTTCAGAGCCAGTCCACTGAAGAATCAATGATATGATTCGATGTTTTGTAAATGGGTTAAGTGCGAACACATCGGACACATGACTGTGAAATAGCATTGTCTGTCAAACAGAAATAATTTCTAACCAATTTATCACACTACTAACAAACATAGAAGATCTGAAGCTGGCAATTTGGTCAAGTTTAAATTTGATTCGTGCGCGGTTACTTTGGAATTGTATATTTTTCATTTTTTCTCCCGTTAGAAATTTAATTGCAACAAAAAACCGCCGCACGGAGGTAGATGGATAGTTGTAAAAGGTAAAACTGAAATTCATAGCTACATTGTTCATTTTAGTACCCAAAGAGCATGCCCGTTGAATGAAACGTGTTCGGTTGGGTTAACAATTTCCCCGGCACAAGAAATAGCTGAACTCCTAATTAATTGATTTGAACTAGCTTCGAACTTCACGTTCACGCGCACAGTCGCAAGTTCATCCAGTCAACCATACACTCGTGGAAGCACGATAGACTCGAGTTTCGCTCTTATTAGAGTTCATCAGTAGTGAACTGAGAAATCATCACCGAAAACGACACCTGAACAAACATGAGTTGGCAATTTCGGTCAACCATGATATGACCGAGTTGGTATAGTGGTAATGTGCACGCTTTCCATGCCCGATGGGTCTGGAGTTCAAATCCCGGACGGGAGGAGGCGGTGAATATGCACTACTGATGATGAGCTCTAAGGAGAGAGCGAAACTCGAGTCAATAGTGCTTCCCAGTGTGCGTGGTTGAATCGATGAACTGAGGATTGTGCGCATGTGAAGGTGAAGTCCGTGGGATAGTCAGTTCAAATCAATCCACATCAAATATCCCACATCACTACTCACAGATAACTGTGAGTCAAAATGTGAACTCCTCATTGTTCTTTACTCCCGGTAAAATGAACAGGTGCGATTTTCATCAATACCTATATTGCATTTTGGTGGGGTCAACTGGAGAGATTCCAAGCTACTACTACTACTACTACTACCACAGAACCGCGCCCTTGGACAATCCATTCACCGGGTTGATATTGGTCTGATTTGGCGGACAAATGAAGATGGGTGGATGCGAGTGCTAGATGCATTTGGGGGGAGGGGGGACGGACGGAGTGAGAAAATGATTGATTGGCTGCTGCTCAGCTAACCATCTTCAATTTGGCTGACCCAGAAAGAGATCGACGTGAGGGGATAAAACAACACCACCACCAACAACAACAACAACAGGTCATTGACCTGAATCCAGTTGGGCATGACAAGCCTACCCGACGGCCAAAACCGCTAGGTAAGTTAGTTAGAAAGTGAACATTTCGTCACAAGTGCCTTTATATGACCACCAGTTTGTCCTACATCAAATATATATATATATATGCACATGTGCGTGTGTGTGCGTACAGATAATTATGTTTCACAACCACACAGACACACTTAATGCACAGTAACTTAGGACAACAACTTATAACTTATGAATTAAAACGCAGTGCCACCATTTGTAGGGAAAGTTAACGGGCCTTCATAACCACTTGGAAAATCAACATCGTCCAACAGTTGAATGAATTTCTACCACTGGTCCTTTATTATAAATGTAGTTGTTTCATCAGCACGATACAAACCATCCACCAATACTCACCAATGTGTTGTCCTATTATTCCCCGGGTGGTTTTTGCTGGTCTACACACACATACACACACACACATACAAAGAAGACTTTGAGATTCTTCGGCGCGGTCTGGCGATTATCAGTTATGTGATGATCTCTCTAAAGAAAGTAGTCCATAGGTGAAACATTTGCACAGAAAATCCTCTCCGACCCCACAGTCATCGTTTACGGGGTAATCTTCCCGAAATGCCGTTCTCGATCACCTACGTTCTACGTTCTATATACCGTTTGTCACCCACAAAAATTCTCCAGTTCCCTATCTCGTTAGAATCTTTGTAAACCGATAACAGCGGGTTTTGTCTGAATTTCTCAGCAGCCCTGGAAGTTGAATGTTTTAATTGTATTATTTCCTTTGTCCGATGAGGTATCCAATGCGGACGTCAGTCCATCATCATCAGTCTTGCAAATACAAACAATCTTTTTTAATAATAAACGGTTTTTCCAACAAATTCATGTAAAGTTGTAACGTGCCTTTATGCGGGTACGTTTATTATGAATACAATTTTGTCACAAGCCTCCTAGTGCCTCTGCTCGAATGTATATCGTCAACACCCCAAACCCACTTATACATCCAGTGGCTCGTCATCAAATTTNAAATTTCCAGTCATTTTTATGTGAATGATTGAATCTTCTTCCCGCGCCCTACCGATTTCAGTGGAAGAAACAATTCTCAGTTCAGTTTGAACAACCATTAACTATGCACTTTCGTGTGCCGGTATTGGTTACTGTATTTTGGCTGCCCATTTGAATGAAGAATAGGAAAACAAAGGAAAGTTAAAGGTAGAGTCCAACAGAAAATGGAGAATTTCAGTGGTCTAAGTTTGCAAAGAAATTAAGAAGATGCACGAAAGCCACTGTTGACCACAATCAGCCACATCACTCAATGTCTGTAACCATCGGTTACGATCATCCTGAGATCCCCAGCCAGGGAGCCTAAAGAGACCGATACGACCCAGTCTCCTGGTCTGGGTGTTCATACTCTCATGCCAGGTCTTAGCTTGACCACTTCGGGCTTTATTCCACCCACTACCTGCCTCGGTGAACATCGTTCGCCGTGGTAACCTATCTAGTGACATGCGTATCACATGCTCAAACCAACTTAATCTTTGGAGGTCGGCCACTTGCTCCAGTGGGAGACCGCGGATATCTTAAACTTTGCGCCTAACCTCAGAATTGTCTGTCCGGTTGCCCCACCAGATTCGTGCAATGCTGCTTAGACAACGGTGTTCAAAAACCGACTGTCGATCTTTATCCCATTTTCTTAATGGCCCTGTTTCTGCGCCGTAAGCAGAACTGGCTGAACTGTCGCGGCATACACTCGACCCTTCACAGACAGCCGGATGTCGTGACGGTGCCATAGATGTTTCAATTTGGCAAATGCTAACCGAGCCTTCTGCATGAGAGCAGACACTTCATCCGTGATGCGTCCATCGGGTGAGATGTAGCTGCCCAAATAACAAAACTTATCCATTTGTTATACTACTTCTGCAGTTAGAGTGAGGTTCGGTGCTGGACCAACTCAGTCTTGTAGTCACATTTTACACTTTGAAGGCGCAAAACGCATATTGAACATAGTTACACCAACACTCAAGCTATCCGGAAAAGCCTGTAACTTGCCTTAATCTTCACTTAGTAGGACAATGCCGTTTGCGCCCTCTAGATCAGACCGTCTGCCACCTGGAAATAGATCGATGCGGCTATCGTATCACGAGGATTGGGCTGCTTTAAGAAACAAATCCAGGACAAAGTTAAATAGAAATGGAAAGAGAGAGGGTAACCCTGACGAACACCACATTCCGTGGTGAACTCGGGCGAAAAAGTGCCGTAAGCCCAGATTCGACTTCGGCTATTAGTATAAAGTAATATTGAAATAAACTTCTCGGGCACACCTTTCAGAGAAAGGCAGCGCCAGAGTTTAGAGCAGTCGACTGAGTCACGAGCCGCTTTCAGATCGAGGAAGATGGAAATGTGAGTCTACGAAAAGAATGTCGGTGCTCCAGAATTTGGCACAGAATGAAGATGTGGTCGATACAACCTCGACCAGATCTAAAACCAGCCCGGTTCTCACGCGTGCACCGTTCACGTGCGGCAGACAATCGTCGGAGTATTATGCCGGCGAGAAGTTTAGAGGCAATGTTGATTAAACTAATTCCTCTGTGGTTTTCATAAGAGAATCTATCATCTTTCTTGTAGATCGGTATGATTACCGATTCACATCATAGAGCTGGATCCTCTTCCCTCTCCCACACTAAGCCCAGGAATTTTGTTAACTCCAAAACCAAGACTAGACTTCCATCCTTAAAAGTCGATGGGCAGCCCATCGGGGCCGGAAGCCTTATGCCTTTTGAGATAACTTATTTTTTGGGTAACCTCCAGTTGAGATGGTGGACAAGCATCAACTGGCAGTATTTACCCACTCCAGGTGAAGGGTGAAAAATCAGATGTCGATGGGGACCAGTTGAAATGAGCCTTGAAGTGTTCAGTCCATCAATCAAGACGGCGTTGCTGATCGTGAATTGTGTGCCATTGGATTCCTCCATTACCTCACTCACGCCAAGTTTCCCAGGGTCTGCATTCCTAATTAGACGGAAAAGATTCCCACTAGTAGATAGATAGATAGATAGATAGATAGATAGATAGATAGATAGATAGATAGATATCACCGGTTTGCGGACAAGCATGATGCCAACTAATGTACAATAATAACAGAAACGGGAGATGAGTGGATTGGGATGAAGAATGAAGTGTAAAGAGGGTTAATTAGTTACACCAATTTCTTTTTGTTTCATAGTACACATTTTAATATGCATTTGTATATATGATGGGTACATTGATTCGCACTCAAAAACGCTGAAATAAATCAAAACGTGATACCACAGAAATTGAATGATTACTGTTCCATATATCCGCTCAAAGTGAACTTCTTTTTTGAGAAGTGGACAATAAAACAGCCCGATGATAATAAACATTGCTCATATTAAATACTTCCCCACGACAATCATCAGCTTATTAACGCTGCAACATTTGACCCAATTACACCGGTATACTAACACGGGAGTCTCTTTTGTGAAGGAAGTTTATTATCCTCGACCAGCTATTGTATCCACATCTCAAAAACGGAATTCACGTTCACTGGGGATACGACACGGAAACACTATACTATTTGTGTTAAATTCGAGATTTTCACTCAAAAGGGTATCGTATGTTATCGGGAAACACTGAAACACTGTACTCGAGTGGTGTCAAATGATTTGACGATACGGACACATCGTTCCAACTATTCTCCAATCAATATGGGGTGCAACATACGATCACGACATTTTCTCATTTCTTGATCAGAATTTGTGACATCAACGTTTGTAGAACATGAGATGCTTCAACATCCGTTGACTTCAGAATATTCCGATACGTTTTGATCGGACTCGCCTACAGTAACATGACTAAAGCGTGTGCATCGTTGCTAAAGCATTACCTATTTTCGCTAAAGGAATATGGGTCGAGGCTAAAGCACTAAGGATTTTGGTTAAAGCTTGCTGGGAAAAGATGTAGGACACCACCACCACCACCACTATTTCACGAGTATTGCGATTTTATTGGCATAACCAGTACTGTTATTTGTGTTACGCTGTTTCAATCTGCTAAAACCATGATATGAATAGCATTTGAGTAATCAGTACAGTAAACCAATCCAATCTGAGCAATGTGCATGTTTGTACGAACGTTTCAACAGAATCACCAGTCGTGATCGTCGAATGGAAAAGAAATTACACGGTATCCCAATTTCCGCTCTAGTGTTACTGTGGTAGATAGATAAATTTAAAAACTAATTTCGCAACCTAACCAAATGATAAAAACCTTATCTCCCCTTCCCCCTCCACTTCCTATTCAAAGGAGCTAAATCAGATAACTGAAAAGATACAAAGATACATAATTGTCGGACAAAATGGAGATAGACGTACCGGTTGAATCAAATAACGCGTGATATAGTTGTCGAAAAGATGCACTTAAATTCAGATCTAGCGAAGGCGGTACGGACAGTGATGTCTCATCTGACAGGGACACGGTGTTCTCGCAATTGTGACGATCTATCATGGGCATTCCATACAGATCAGTCAACGATGTGACCAAAGAAGATGTACCGGAGTTTAGGCTCTCACTCAGATAGGTGTTCGAATCGGTCACTTTGCTGAATGAATGATGTTCAACACCCAGAGTGTTCACTGACCCGGTGGTTGTCGGAGTTGTGCTTAATTCAGTCAAGCATCCATTGGCCAGTGAAGTGATTGCATAACCTGTGATGGTATTGCTGTAATCGTCACTGGAAGTAGAATGTCCCACCCCTGAGTCCGTGGAACAGTATGTGCCATTTGGTTTGAACGTAACAGATAGTTGGTCTGTTCCACAGCGAACCATGTCATCCGCAGCGATCGAACTGGTCACAGAATTGAGATCTGACATCAAGTGAGGCGATTCGGTGCCCTCGAGATCAATACATACACTTTGAGGACGATCCTGATGGATCTGGGATCCAAGCGGACTGCGTAGTTCCGGTGTGGTGGAAGCCGTACATGCGTCCGAGAAATCGCTACCCATGGACAATGATGAAGTATCCATCAGTTGGAATCCATTGCCCGATTTGGTGGCACGATAAGGGGATTCTGAACCGGTTCCGTTCAACTGATAGTTTTCCATGGACGAATAATCTGTCGAGTTAGTCATAAATCTGGAATTGTCTCCAAACTGTTTACCGCGTGTTCGACGTGTTCGAGTGACCGATCCAGAATGGGACTTCAAACTGTGCCCGTCCAGAGCGGACACATCGCAACGACCGGTCGTTATAAATGCATTAGGACTGGACTGGGTGATTGGTGATGGTTGCGGTGGTTGGAGCTGATGATGATGATGATGATGATGATGATTTCGGTCACAATCGAGACTGCCGGAATCTCCTCGCATCGATAGATCGGTAAGTGAGGACTGAAAAAAAGAGTTGGACAGTTACGGTATACAATATAGAAAATTATCGAAAAGAATTAATATACGGTCGATACGATAAAGGAACTCATGGAAATAGGCATTTGATTGGTTTGGAATTTAATTGATGCGTTAAGAATATTCAACTGAAACATAAGCCATTCTCTTCCACAATCTTTTATTTTAGTTCAGTAGTGATTCGATAGAGAATTTGTCGTCCCATCGAATTCAGGTGAATAGGTTTCACTGGTTACGGAGCACGTATTGTGCATGCCTAGCTATCGACTACCGCACACCGCGTTATTCACAGTCGTGGCTTCAGGTTGAAAGACACCACGTGGAGGTCAACAGATGACACGGAAATGAGACATGAAGAAATGCACAATGCAGATACCAGTACATCAATACACACTTAAATCATTCATAAAATCACGGAAGATGAATGGAGAGAGATGGTCAGCAAGTATTTCCATCATATGTGGGAAGCATATTTATTGACGATCAGGATTTTATGAGGGAAACGGAACAGGGCTAATTCTTTTTGATCGACCGCCAAGATGATGCTAGTCTACTACTGAGTAATACGGAGCGAGGGTGCTTTCAACAGTCAACATAAATTGAAATGTTTTTTATTTTTGAAAAACGGTGAGGATTTGATGCGATAAAATGAATACTCTATTGTGAAAAATAGACTTTTTTCAAATGAATCTGTCGGTTCAGTCTGCCACATGCTACCACCGTTATTTTTTGAGCTTATAAACTGCTGCTTAAGCATAACCAGTTCGCATCTCTATATTACAGTGAACAGTCCCCAACCTCACACTGACCAGGAATATAGTAG